CCGTATCTGTGTTTTCCCTGCTTCCGTCACGGAAGCCGATATGTATGGTTTCCCAGTAAGAAACTCGTTACTCCGATAACTGGATTCGATCGTGAAAATCGATTTCCATTTATAAGCCGATTTAGAGATTTTGGAGACGGTAGCGATTATGGAAGCTTTTGGAATGAGGAGTAGTGTAAATCAAGCTCCAGGAACCGAGGATCTTAAGAAATTTGGAGATAATCCTACAGGTTTGTGTATCTCTCGGATTTGTTTTTTGTTTCTTCTCGTTTGAATTTAGGTTTGTTGGTTCTCCAGATGCTTGTTTAGTTTGAATCTGGATCTAGTTTGATTTAGCTTTTTTCGACTGGTGTAGGAAGTAAATCAAACTTGAATTGCTTCTTAGTTGATTCGTTGACCTTGTTCTTCGTTAATTCCAACGAAGAAGACGAAGATTAGGGATTGGTTGCTATTTTAATCTTGAACATTGATTCTCCAGAGTCTTGTAGTTTTTCAAACATAATCCTGGCTTGTCTAATTGAAGTTTTCTTTGGTGCAGGTAATTCAGTGTTTGATGCATCTCAATATGCCTTTTTTGGGAACGATGTTGTCGAGGAGGTTGAGCTGGGTGGATTGGAAGAGGAAGATGAGATATTGTCTTTCGCTGGAATAGGGGAAGACTTTTCATTCGATAAGGAAGAGGTTAATCTCACCCTTATTTCTCTTAGCTAGCATCTTTCGTTTCGAGGAACCACCGGATCTCTATATTCTGGAAGAGATGAAGCTTGTCTTTGTTTTTATATTCTCGGTTCATGTAGTGGAATGACTTACGATTCGTAACCAATATTTGCAGGTTGAAGAATCTAGACCTTTGTCTGATGTTGATGATCTTGCTAGTACTTTTTCAAAGGTTAGCTAGCTTTAAAACGAATTATAATTGAGAACACAATCAAAATGTTAAGAATGCTTCGAGGCAGCTTGTGACCTGAGGATTTTTGTCTATGCTGTTACAGTTGAATAGGGATCCTGATGTATTTAGAAACAAAGGACCAATCACTGATCGGCAATCAAGACAGAGTGAGTTTCATATCTGCATTAATGTTGTCTCAAAACCCTTGTGAAATATTTCATGATCAATCTATTTTTATGCCTTCACATTGATTTACCTAGTTCTTTAGGTAATGAATTTAGGAGAATACAGTTGTTATATATCAAATCTGTGTCTGTTTTTTTGCGTTTAACTTTATGATTTAGTGTGAGCTGTTTTTCGTTCCATCTCCTTAGAAATACGATTGAACGACCTGCCTCTCTCTTCTTTCTTCAGAGTTAATGCATTTCCATGGTTTAAAAGTATAATGTTTTTTTCTCAGATTCTTTAGTGCCGGAGTGGACTCATGGGGAGCAGTTGCCAGATTGGTATGGCCAGCAGATTCTGGACTCTGATGCCATAAAAAATGACAAGGCATGGTCAGCACAGCCTTTTTCGGCTCTGGACCCTAACAGAACAACACCGTATCCCGAATCACAACGTCAGCTGCATCAAAATCACAATCAACAGCAGTTTCCCAGTGAACCTATTCTTGTCCCGAAGTCACCTTTTGTTTCATTCCCTCTTCCAGGCAGCATATCACCAGATCAGCGGTTAGGACACCAAAATATACCATATCATTCTGGTAGGCCTCAATTGGGATCGCCAAACTTTTCTCAGCTCCCAACTTTGCAGCCTCAGTTGCCTGGCATGCATCATGGATCTCCCCAGCACACCGGAAACATGCCTCAGTTTCGTCCGGCTCTTCCTCTGAATAATCGCCATCCGGCTCAATGGATGAATCGTCAAAATATGCATCCTGGTGATAATTCCGGGATCATGAATAATGCAATGCTACAACAGCCACCTCATCAAAACGGGTTGATGCCTCCACAGATGCAGGGATCTCAGAATAGGTTGCCACATCCAATGCAGCCTCCTCTCGGGCATATGCCAGGAATGCACCCTCAGTTATTTAATCCCCATCTTTCTCGATCATCATCCTCTGGAAGTTATGATGGAATGCTTGGGTTTGTTGATCCGCGGGAAGGAAGACCAGGATCGGCTCAAGGCAACAGGCAGAACCTGCGTTTCCATCAACAAGGCTTTGACGGTGGCGTTCAGAGGAGACATAGTGGGTGGCCTCCATTCCGGTCTAAATATATGTCAGCAGAGGAGATAGAGAATATACTGAGAATGCAGCTTGCTGCTACACACAGTAATGATCCTTACGTTGATGATTACTACCACCAAGCCTGTCTTGCTAAGAAATCTGCAGGTGCAAAACTGAGACATCATTTCTGTCCAAATCATTTGAGGGAACTCCATTCACGTCCACGGACAAACAACGAGCCCCATGCTTTCCTTCAGGTTGATGCTCTTGGTAGGGTTCCTTTCTCTTCTATCCGCAGGCCTCGTCCCCTTCTTGAAGTGGACCCTCCAAATTCAGCTAAGTCTGGTAATCTGGAGCATAGAGCTACTGATAAGCCCCTTGATCAAGAACCAATGCTTGCAGCTAGGGTGTACATTGAAGACGGTCTTAATCTCCTCCTTGATGTTGATGATATAGATCGTTTCTTAGAGTTTAACCAACTCCAGGATGGAGGAAACCAGTTGAAGCAAAAACGGCAAGCTTTGTTGGAAAGCCTTGCGGTATCACTGCAGCTCGTTGATCCCCTCGCCAAGAACGGGCAAAGCCGGTCCCATGATGATTATCTCTTTCTAAGGATTATCTCTCTTCCAAAGGGTCGGAAGCTACTTATAAGGTATCTCCAGCTTATTTTCCCCAGCAGCGACCTAATGCGGATTGTTTGCATGGCCATTTTCCGTCATTTAAGGTCATTGTTCGGAGTCCTCTCATCTGATCCTGATATCACCAAAACCACAAACAAGCTTGCTAAAGTTGTAAACTTGTGCATTCACAACATGGAGTTAGGACCGATAAGCGCTTGTCTAGCAGCGGTTTCTTGTTCTTCTGAGCAGCCACCTCTCCGTCCCTTAGGCAGTCCTGTTGGAGACGGAGCTTCCACGGTACTGAAATCTACACTCGACCGAGCTTCTGAGCTTCTCCAGGTTAATAACTTCAACAACGCAGGCATGGCTCTATGGCGCGCTTCCTTTAATGAGTTCTTTAACCTTCTGATGAAGTATTGCGTCAGCAAATACGACAGCATCATGACAAGTTTGAATTCACAATTGCCACCGCATTTTGCTACCGAGATATCTGATGCAGCTGCACAAGCCATAGTCCGCGAAATGCCAATTGAGCTTCTACGTTCGAGTTTCCCACACATTGATGAGCAGCAAAAGAGAATACTAATGGAGTTTTTGAAACGATCCATGCTCGGAAGCCAGAAAACATAAGCCTGTTCTTAAGTTTGATTGTATCAGATTATATAGAATCAAGAAATCGTATCACGATGTCTGTATATGAAGCATAAGATCATGCAGAAACCACGAAAAGAAAAGGTAGAGAGAATCGGTTCAAACTTAACTCTTTTTTTTTTTTTGGCATCAGAAAGGATTTGTTCCCTTCAAATGGACAAAGACTGTTTTTGTGTCATCTAGAGAAAAGGCAAATGGAGAAGAAGTGTGGTCTCTGTACAGAGAGAAGAAAAAAAAAAAGTCTTTAGCTTTGCACAACTTTTGTAGCTCTTCAGGCATTTTGTGTGTTTTCTGTCTTCTGTTTAGTTTCATCTCATTTAGGTTTTCTAAACC